AGCAGGAATCATGGGCTGGGGGGGGGAACACCCGAGCTGCAGCAGAGACCCCACATCTCCCCCGGGTCCCCACGACCAGCTCAGGGCATGTTTCCTCCCTCCCCAGTGCCACCAAGCCCTGCAGAAGCTGTCACCAGACCCAACAGCCTTCTAGTTGAGCAGACACATCACCCACCCACCTCCCTGCACCCCCAAAAGCCATCGAGGACCCTTCCCACGAGGTCCAGAGGGGTTCAGTGCCAACCAGGGAGTCAAGGGCTGCTCCCAGCACAGCTCAGCTCAACCCCCAGCAGCAGGAAGACCCCAAAACCACCTCCCAGCTCTTGGGGACTCTACGCTTCCAAAATCTCCCCTCAGGGAAATTTCCAGCACGTTTTCCCCAGTGCTTCAAGTGGATGTATGTGGGTACCCCCAGATTTCAGTACTGGGGGGACCCCAGCACAGCCTGCTGGAGGGGTGACACTACCCATGGCACACAAACCCCCCTAGCCAGGATGCAGCTTTTTGGAACTCAAACCCCCACGCTGAAGCCACATTTTGGGGGGGAAACATGAGTTCCACCCACCCCCCAGCACCTATTTTAGGGGGCAGCAGGAAGGGGGTGACTTTTGTCACCCTCTGATGGGCACAGCAGGACCCAGCAGCCTCTTGCTGGGTGCAGGAGAGGAGGTGGGTGACCCACAGCTGCCAGGTTCTGGTTTCTAAACCTTTGAGGGAGGGGGAAAGAGGAAAATCCTCCCCCCCAGGGTCAGGGCTGAGAGGCAGTAGCTCCATCTCCAAGGCAGAGGAGATGCATTATCTCAAAACCCAGCTTCTTCCAGGCAGCAAAGAGGTCTCGGCTGTGGCAGAAGCCAAATGGAGAAGGCAATTAAGGCCTCTGAGGTGCTGTTAAGAGGAAAAACCATAAATCACCATGGCCTTGGGAAAAAAAAAGGAGCTTTTTGGCTTCTGCTGGGGCTGCTCCATCCGCAGGGCAGAGGAGGGGAAGCATCCTCAGGAGCTGTTTCAGATGTCCTCAAACCAGAGCACAGGAGGCAGCAGGGCAAGGAGAGCTCGTTGCTTGGGGGGGGTTCCCCAAGGAGGGTCCTGAGCCCCAGGGAGGGTCCCCAGTCCCAGAGAGGGCTCTGCCAGGTGGTGCCAGCACCGTGCTGAGGTGTTCCTCAAGAGCACAGATCCTGCCTCCTCAGCACACATCCAGCTCAATCCCTTTAACACCACAGCAAGAGGAATGGAGCCTCGGGTCTTCCTGAAACTAGTGAGGCTCTGTATAGTCCCAATTTCACAGGATTTCCACCCAATTAAGCAAGAGGCAGGGCTGGCCACCATGCCAGAGCATCCCTAGTGGTCCAACACCCCAGGCTCCTCTCCTCCAAGCTCTCCAGCAGTGCCCATCACCACAGGGCAGGAAGACACCAAAACCTGCTGCTTTATCCTCAGCCACCTCCAACATCCACGGTGGGCAGAAGCCTCTGTGCTGCCCAACGCTCCCCCCAGGAGCTTTCCACCCCCTGCAGCAGCAGCAGGAGCACCAGAAGAAGGTCCTGGTCTGATGGACACCACGGGTCCGGGCAGCAACGATGGGATCACAGCCTTGGCACAGCCCCAGGAGACAACACAGCTCCACCACGAGCAGCTCCAGCAGCACTCAGCTGGGCAAGGCAGGAAGAATCCCCACTGGAGCAGAAAAATCCTGGTTTCTTGCCTCATTTTTCCAAGTCACCACCAAATACATCCATCCAAGGGCTCGGGGAGCCACAGGGGACCAGCTCCATAGGGTCTGAGCCCCCCTGAGCCAGCTCAGGGAGGGGAGATGATTTTTCAAGACACAACATCCCACTGTGATGATTAAAGGTGGTTTTCTCCTCTTTGGCAGGCAGGAACCATGGAGCAGAATCCATTGGGCAATAAAAACTCCTCATGGGGCAGCTCTGGTTTGAAGCCTCGTCCCTCTGTCCAGCCTCAAGGTGTCCGTAGCTCCATGAAGGTCCCACCTCAGGGCTGAAGATCTCCATCCTGGTGCCCTGGCCAAGCCACTTCCATGGCAAGTGTCCCTGGGGTGTCCCCAGGCTCCCCAGACATCTCCACCATCCTCACTGCTCGTCCCTCCTGCCCAGAGCTCAGGAATCGTGTCCAGGAGGCTCCACGGAGGGGTTTAGAATCCACCTGGGTCTCCACGGAGCAGAGGGATGCAGTGATGCTGCTCTCCTGGAGTCTTCTCTGCTGAAAAGCCCAATTTCCCTCCCCTGTCCCTTCTCCTCCTCCCTGGAAAAGGGTAGGTTTAAAAATACACACCAAAGGGCTAAAAAAAATACACCCTGGGTGAGAAGAAGCTGCAGGAGCTCCTCAGCCACCTTCAGCACCCAAAAAAACTCCCCCTGCACCCACAAAAAGCTACCCAGGGTGGATGCCCCACACCTCGGCCAGCAGCAGGGACAAGATGGAATGTCCACCAAGCAAGATGAGGGTCCTGCCCAACAAGACCTTGGGGCAGCCCAGGGCCAGGGACTCCCCCTCGACACCTCAAGAGGTGCAGGGAAGTTCACACCCGCTCAGGATGCTGCAGCACTGGGGCTTCTCCTCTGCTGGTAGGACCTCCAACTGGACTGAGCTCCCTGCAGAGCCCAGGACTATCACCCTGGAGCAGGCAAAGGTCCTTCAGACCCAGCCTTGGTGACAGCAAGGACATCACCATCCTCCAAGGCCAGGAGAGAGGAGCTGGTCGGAGACCAACCACGGAGACTTTTCCCTCCTGGGGTCCCTCAGGGTGTGCCAGACCAATATGGTGAAGATCTGAAGGAGGTTACAGATTTAGGAGAAAGGCTGGCGAGGACTATCTCGTATGCAGAGTGTTTTTAATTGGATTATGTCCATCATGCTTCATGCCTTTGTTCACTGATTTAATGGTTCACCACTTAAGTTCACCACTGGCGTTAAATTTAGTCAAGTAGTCTAATCATTTCCAGAGCTATAACCAAATCAAGGGCTCGATTTCACAGAAGCCTGAAGCAGAGGAACTAAGAGACAATGGCCTAGATGCATAAAATTAACAGTTCTTGACCTCAAAAGGGGCAAAAAAAGGAAAAAAAAAAATATAAAAGAGGCTTTTGGTGCATGGGGGGTTTGGTGTGAAGCCCCTGCACCCCAAGCTGCTGGTGGAGGACAGACACAGGGGCCTTGTCCTGGTGCTGGGGAGCCCCCCCAAGCTGGGGGGACAGAAGGGGGGTGCAGGCTCCATGTAAACCCCAACTCCCTGCCTGCTTCCCCTCGAGGGCAGGGGATAGCAGCGATCCACCCCCCACCAGCATCCCTGCAGGAACAACCCTCTGCTGGCACCGAGGGGAGAAATTACTGGGAGGGGGAAGAAAAAACTTTAAAAATAATCCCATTTTTCTTGGTTTCACATCTTGGGGAGGCAGCAGGGAGGGGGCAGCAGCCCCTGAGGAGCACAGCCCAGCAAGCCAAAGCGGCTCCGTGCCCACCCGGAGCGTGCAGGACTCTGAGAGAGGCACCACCCTCCCCTTTTACCCCCCCAAAATTGGGTGGCCATCGCTCGCCACCCTCCCTGCAGCCCCTCCAGGGATGCTCAGAGCTCCCTGCTCCCCATCCTGCTCCCTGGAAGTTGGTCAGGCGAAGCCATTTGAAGCCTAATGACAGCTCTGATCCAAGGAAGCAATTACCTCCAAAATGGGGGTCACGGGCCCCAGCTCGTTACCCTTAATTGAATTCCAATATCTGCCTCTAGCTGCCTTGCAGCAGCTCCTGCCTGCACCTAGAAGTGGCTCATCAAAGCCCAGCATCCTTCTGCCTCTGCCCCCAGCTCATCCTCGGGCTGCCAGGAGGTGCAGGCAGGAGGTGCAGGCAGCCCCCTCCCTGCCTGGCACCCCAACAGGGACCCATCCAGACAGGATCCCCTCCCAAAAACCACCACCAGACAACCCTCACCACGAGAGATGCTGCTGGAGAGAGGTTCTCCTCAGACCCCAGCAAGTTTCTACGCTTGGTTCTACCCCTAAAACCACAAAAATGGGACACAAAGGCAAGAACAACGCAGGGAATCACCGAGATCCTTGTGGCTTAAGGAAAAAGTGCAAAGGGTTACTCAAAAAAAGGCAGAATTTAGTATTTTGTGAAGTATTTTTCTTGGAAAACGAGCTCCAACACTCAGAGGAGCTCTGGATACTGGTCGGGGACCAACTCAGGGTTAAAGAAGCCCCCCCAAGCTTCATCAGCTGCAGGATTGAGACCGTGACACCCATGAAAGGAAGCAAAAAAATAGTTAAATCTTTAAAACGGTTAAATCTTGAAAAAGCCACCTAAGAAAGAGGTTAGGAAGGGAGCAGGTCAAGTCAATGCATGGCACCACAACTCTGTCCAGTTTACAGCACATTTCACATCAACAGCACACACAGAGACAAGCCTGGGCTCAGGGGGTTCTGGGAGGGCTCCCCAGTTGCCCCCCAGTCTGCTGGATTTGGGGGTTGGTGGAAGTTCTCAGTGCTGCTCGAGCCCTTGGGGATGGGGACTGAGCTGCTTCGAGGATGGCTCGGGGGAGTTTTGGAGGGGGTGGGGGGCTGCCCTGCTCCCCCTCCTGAGCGCAGGGTTGCCTCTGGTGATGGTAAATGATAGGAATAAAAGGGGTATACACACGGTGAGAGGCAGATTGGGAAGTCCACGTACCCCGATGATAGCATTCAACTCCGTCATGGTCACTTGCTTGGCACGCTCAACAGCCTGAGCCACTTGCTGTTGGTGCTTGGGGGGGGGAAAAAGAGGGGCACAGGTCAGTGTTGGGCATAAGGGCACCCAGCTCGAGGCCTAACCCCTCTTTCCAGAGCTTCTCACCCTGGTTTTTCACCTAGAGTTTGCTCAGGAGCAGCAGCCTGGGTGCATCTCCCTCATCCACGGAGCTGGAAGAGCCCCTCGGAGACTTTTTAGCTCCCCAAGCTCAACCCAGACCCCAAAGAATCATAGATTGGTTTGGGTTGGAAGGGACCTTAAAGGTCATCTAAGTCCAAACCCCATGCCATGGGCAGGGACACCTCCCACTAGACCACGTTGCTCAAAGCCCCTCATGGGGTCCAGCTCCCCCCAACCTTGTGTTTTGCAGCACACACACAAGATCTGAGCCTTGTTTCTCCCATCTTTTTTGGTGGGAACAGGTCCAACAGCCCATCCTAAGACCCCCTTTGAGGGGAAACCCCCCCAGGAGAAGCAGCATCCCCCCTGTAGGGTGTGAGAAGGTGCTTACCTCTTGTGACAGAAAAGGCATGATCTGGGCTAAAATTGTATTCAGTCTTTTAGCAATTTCTGTCTGGAAAAAAAAAGAATAAGAGGAAGAAGAGAAAGCAACAGTCAGTACCAAGCCACCTCCCGTGGACTGCACCAGGTTGCCCACCAGTGCCAACGAGCATCTCCACCCCCATCCCCATTAGAAGAGGTGCAGGGACGCTTTGGTCCCCATCCCACCTTGGGATTGAGCATCATGGACCAACCCTAGCAGCTTCACACCAGCCTGGGCTTGAAGAAGATGTAGAGCTCCCTCTCCATGAAGAGCCAAGGAGGTTGGATCATGTAAAACCCAACCAGGATCTCACACAGGGACTTCCCACTCCTGGTGGCTTATGGATGGGAGTTGAGTTCCTTCAGAAGAGGCCCAGTCAAACACAGGGTGTATTCTGGGCAACAGTGAGGGTTGGTGGGTGCCTGCTCTCATCTTGGCACCCTCCAAGGTCTTTCCCCACCCCAAACTGAAGCTGTTTGGGTTCCTTTCCTCATCCTCACATCCTACTCCGGAACCTTCACCCGTCCCCATCAACCACAAACCAACAGTGTCAAGAGTGTGGTTGCTGCAGCAGCTCCAGCAGCTGGGAATGACTCTACCCTCCAGCAGGAACCCCAGCATGAGGACCAGACTGGTTTAGGTGGGAGGGGACTTCTGAAGGTCACCCAGTCCCACCCCCCTGCACTCAACAGGGACATCTGCAGCTAGAGCAGGGTGCTCAGAGCCCCGGCCAACCTCACCTGGGATGGTGCCAGGGATGGGGCAGTGACCACCTCTCTGGGCAACCTGGGCCAGGGGCTCAACACCCTCAGGGTCAAACATTTCTCCCTTCTCTCCAGACTAAATGTCTCCCCAGCTGGAGCCTTCTCCTCTCAGGCTGCCCCAGCCCAAGGCATCCCCAAGCTGTGCCCTACAGCAGCTCCAGGGGGTGCAGACCTCTTGGCTCTAAATACTACAAGAAAAAATAAGTCCAAATATCCTATCTCGGAGCGAAAAACCCAAGAGGAACACATCTGTACTTTGAGGACCTGGGGAAGTGACTTGGTGACACCAGACGAAGCCAGGAAGCACAACCAACGTGCCCCAGGTTGACCACAAGCAAGGAGATGCCAGGAGAACTTCAAGCCCAAGCCTAGAACTGATACCCATGGACCAAGACCCCTCATGGACCAAGACCCCTCATGGACCAAGACCCCTCAGCTCCCAACACTGCTCCAAGAAGTCCCCAGGAACCAGGAGCTCATTGCTCCTGCAGAACCTTCCCACTGGCATGGACCAGTTCAGCTTCAAAGCAAGCCCTCCCAGGGGTCAGGGGAAGGTGCTGGTACATGGTGCCCAGGCAAAAACATCTGGAAGTGATGATGGTTTGGAGTCAGGTCCCTTGGTGAGAACAACCCACCAGTGCTGCAGCTGCTGGGACCACCACAGACCCGACAGCAAGGACATGGGGCTGGAGCAGAGAGTGGGTCAGGCTGGGAAAGACCTTCAGGATCATGGAGCTCAACTGTTGAGCTAACTCCATCAAGTCCATGGCTAACCCATGGCCCTCACACCACATCTCCACGGCTTGGAAACCCCTCCAGGGGTGGGGACTCCACCACTGCCCTGGGCAGCCTGGCACAGCCCTGGGCAACCCTCCAGGGGAACAAATTGTTCCTCAGGGACAACCTCAACCTCCCCTGGGGCAACTTGAGGCCGTTCCCTCTTGTCCTGTCCCTTGTTCACTGGGAGCAGAGCCCGACCCCCCCCTGGCTCCAGGCTCCTGTCAGGAGCTGTGCAGAGCCAGAAGGTCTCCCCTGAGCCTCCTTTGCTCCAGGCTCAGCACCCCCAGCTCCCTCAGCTGCTCCTCCCCACACTTGGCCTCTAGACCCTTCCCCAGCAGCTCCGTTGCCCTTCTCTGGCCACGCTCCAGCCCCTCAAGGTCCTTCTGGGAGTGAAGGGCCCAAAACTGACCCCAGGATTCAAGGGACAACCTCCCCAGTGCTGAGCCCAGGGGGATTATCCCTGGCCACACCAGTGCTGATCCAAGCCAGGATGCTGGTGGCCTTCATGGCCACCTGGGCTCACGCTGGCTCCTCTCCATCCAGCTGTTGACCAATCCCCTCAGGTCCTCTCCCAACAGGCAGTTTCCAGCCATTCTTCTCCCAGCCTGGAGCACTGCATGGATCATCACAGACCCAACAGCAAGGACACCAGACCCATCAGGCACAACATGCTCTGGCCAGAAGAACATGTATCACCCACCAAACTAGGCTGCAAGACCACCAAAAAACTCCAAGCCCACCATGGTGCCACATCCCAAGGAGCACCAGCCACCAACCACCACCTCAACGTTGCTCAGCACCACCTAAACCTCTTGAAAAGGCTTTTTTGGCACTGACACATCAATTAGATGACATATGAATGGAGCTCCACAAAATATTTACTCCTCCAGAGGAAGTCTGTTGGATTCTGGATGCAACAAGCACTCGGTGCTCTGCTCCTCCAGTGTGGTTGCTTCTCCTTCTTGCCAAAACCCAACAAGCTCTAGAACAAGATCAATCCTTCCAGGAGGTGCCAGCATGAACCGTGCCTCCAGCAGCATCTCACAAAGATCATTTAGATGTAAAGGAAGGAGAAAAAAACACATCCAGACAGGTCACCACCACAAAGGAGGGAGAGAAGGAAGGTGTTGGGTTCTCCATCAAGCACCAACACGGTCCAGGTACAATAAGCCACTCCACGACCAGTTGCCTCCACATTTAAACCCAATTCTGCCCAAAATTCCCCCAAAGATCTGAAGAACAACTCTGTGCTCTGCAAAGAGACTTCCCACGTGGGATTCAGCGAGCAGGAAGATATTAGAGGTCCAAAATATTCTGTTTACAACCACAAGGTTTCCTCTTCCCATGAGAGTCAATAAAGTGAACAAATATTTCAAGATGAACTTCTCCCAACCCCCAGTATCTCCAAAGTTGAATGAGGAGCAAAAAGGGATCCTCTGGTGTGCAGGGAATTGAGAGTGGGGGGGGTCATACCCAACACCTTCCCCATAACAAGGTTCATTCATCACCTCACCAAAGAGCCACAGAGCCCCTGAAGGGACCCCCCCGAGCTGCCAAACAAACCCTCCCTTCCCCATCCCAGGTTGCCATGGCACCCCCAGCATCCACATCCCCTCCTGCTGCCCCTCATCCTCCCTGGACGACAGCAGGGGCTGCAAATGAGCTGTGGATAAACAGCCCTAGGAGGGGGGGGGGG